GAAGGATTTAAGTTATTTAGGTGTAAAATTAACCCCCAATGTTACATAGTTACATAGTTAGTCTGGCTGAAAAAAGACAAAAAGTCCATCCAGTTCAACCATAGAAATAAAAAAGTTATAATCCTATACCCACAGTTGATCCAGAGGAAGGCAAAAAAACCCCAGCAAAGCACGATCCAAATTGCTCCTGCTGGGAAAAAAATTCCTTCCTGATCCCCCAAGAGGCAATTGGATATTCCTTTACCTATAAATGTTAGTATCCAGTTCTGTGTATCTAAGAAACAATCCAGGCCTTTTTTGAAGCAATCCATTGAGCTGGCCAGAACCAACTCTTGGAGTCTATTCCACATTTTCACAGCTCTCACTGTGAAGAAACCTTTCCGTGTTTGGAGATTAAATTTCTTTTCCTCCAGACGTAAAGAGTGCCCCCTTGTCCTCTGTGATGACCTCATGGTGAATAGTTCTACACTGAGTTCACTATATGAACCACTGATGTATTTATACATGTTGATCATATCCCCCCTTAATCTCCTTCTCAAGAGAGAAAAAATTCATCTCTTCTAATTTTTCCTCATAGCTGATCTCCTTCATGCCTCGTATCAGTTTAGTTGCCCTTCTCTGTACTTTCTCAAGTTTCCCATGTTCTTTTTGTGCCCAAAACTGAACTGCATATTCCAGATGAGGTCTTACTAATGATTTGTACAGGGGTAATATGATATCTCTCTCTCTGGTGTCTATACCTCTTTTAATACAAGAGAATTTTAAAATGATAATAGTCCCAAAGGTCCTGTATAAATTTCATATGCTCCCAATATATTTACCGGGGTCTTTTTTTGAGATAATAAAAAATGATAACTAAGTATATATGGGCAAACAAAAGACCAAGAGTCAGTTATGAGGTATTGTGTAAGGACAAAACTAATGGGGTCTGAACGTACTGGATTTTAAGAGATATATTATTATGCGGTGAAAAGTTGGGTAAAGATGGAAAGTACACTTAGCGAGTCACAGTTAGATAAGATTATTTGGCTTCCACAACAGTTTAGAAAATTATCAGATAACACTAGCACTTTCACACGTAATGTTTTTAGGATATGGGACAGAATTCATACACAAAGGGGGGGGAATATAATTCACTGTTAATACTGTGACGATCGCGGTGTCAGACCCCCAGCCCTTCTCACCAACTCGTGACCGAAGGACTAGCCAATCTAAAACTAAGAAAGCAATAACACAGCAAAGAGATAACAGAAGTTTAGAGAAGTAGAGTACTTGCCAAAAGTCCTGGGTTAAGCAGATCAAGTTTCAGATCAAAAGGGTATCGTCTCCCAAGTTGGTTCCTGATGTTAAAAGGGGAGAATTCTTCAACTTTCTTCTCCAAACCTGACAGTCTTTTCTAGGAACTCAGCAGGGTGTCTCCTTACAGCAGAGAACCAATCGCCTCATTTGGGGAGGGGGTTGTAGGCGGGGAACTCAGGCTAGAACCAAAATCCCTTCCAAGTTATACCAGGGTCAATAACCTTCCCTAGGTACATGCAGCAGCCTAGCCATTAGTAGATTAATATGCAGAATCATCTGGTAAACGTCTAGATATCAGATATGACATATCTGCTTGGGATGGTTAAGGAGATATCATTTTCTGCTCTTGGGTATACGTAATCCAGGGGTGTAAGATATCAGACGACTCACATTAAACTGAGCTATCCAAATATATGCTTGGTTTTTATGTAATTATATCCTACTTTAAGATATGAAATTATAGGGAAAAGTGGGTTTTAAATGTGATCTCTGTTTTATGGCTAGCTGGAATGCGTTTGAAGCCCAGTGAAGGACTGGTTTATGGCTTTATGATATCTCAGATTGAGAAGCTAACAGACACCCGGGCACCAGCTAATTTGGGATTTATAAACCATGAAGCTGTCCCGCTGTGCCTGATTGCCTGTGCACTCCTGAACCCAGCACACAGGGACCACGTGTCACTCAACAGGGAGGGATGGGGGAAGCTGATTTGGAGTAGAAATGGTACAAGATGGAGGGCCTTTGGCAAAATGGAGGTTCGCATCCATCTGTGTACGTACAATTGCTACAAATACCATTGTGGGGAACAGAATTTTTCCCCCCTGGGAATGAGAATATTGCAGGTAATTGGATAAAAGATAGAAATGCATGTTTAAAAGATATTCTTGATAAAGGGGAATTGTGCACTTTTATAGATTTAAAAAATAAGAAGGAAATATTCTGTGTACTAGACGAGTGGCATTACTATCAATTAAGACACTCTCCCGCAGCCACTGAGGACGAGGGAAGATGTATCCATTTGAACAACTTTTTAGTAGGGACATAATGCAAAGGCATGTGACCTCTTGCATATAAAAGATTCTTACTGCTATGTCTGGAACTGTTTTCCATCATTCTTAGAAAAGTGGAAAAGGAAATTGGAACAAAATTAAATGATCAAGAAAAAAAGAGAATATTTAATTTAATACATGGCATGGTGGATATGAACACAATAGAAATTAAATATAAATGTTTAGTTAGGTGGTACGTTACACCTAGTGTGGCACATAATTAACGAATAGAGAACTCACCTTTTATATTACAGGAGGGGATGTGGAAAGATAGGAGCAATGGCACACATATATTTATTTATATATTTATCGAGTTTATATAGCGCCAAAGGGTTTGCTCAGAGCTGTACAATAGAGGGGGGGACAATACATGAAACAGTACAGTAACATCAAACAGCACACAAGGGGTAAGAGGGCCCTACTCTTTCGAGCTTACAATCTAGGAGGGAGGGGGTAGAGGTACAGGAGGAAATGGCTGTGGGGGATGGAGTGGTAGGAGGAGGGAAGGGCAGCGGCTGTTAGGTGAGGGTGGGGTAGGCTTCCCTGAAGAGGTGGGTTTTCAGGGAGCGCCTGAAGGTGAGGAGGGAAGGTGACAGTCTGATGGATTGGGGTAGTGAGTTCCAGAGGATGGGGGAGGACCTGGAGAAGTCTTGCAGTCGTGCGTGGGAGGAGGAGACCAGGGAGCAAGATAGAAGGAGGTCCTGTAAAAGAGTGAAGGGTACGGGTAGGGTGGTGGTACCTGGGAATCAGGTCGGTGAGGTAGTTAGGGACAGTGTTGTGAATGGCCTTATAGGTCAGAGTGAGCAGTTTGAATTTAATGCATTGGGCAATGGGGAGCCAGTGGAGGGAGAGGCAGAGGGGGGGTGGCAGAGGTGGAGCGGCTGGTGAGGTGGATGAGTCTGGCAGCTGAGTTCAGGATGGTCTGAAGCGGGGAGAGTTTGCACTGGGGTAGGCCGGTGAGGAGGGAGTTACAGTAGTCAGGGCGTGAGATAATCAGGGAGTGTACGAGTAGTTTAGTGGTGTCTGGGTAAAGGAAGGAGCGTATCTTGGCGATGTTCCGGAGGTGGAGCCTGCATGTGTTTGTAAGTGATTTGACATGAGGTTGAAAGGAAAGGTTTGAGTCCAGAATGACGCCAAGGACCTTGGCTTGCTGGGCGGGATTGATGGTGGTGTTGTTGGTAGTGATGGAAAGGATGGGGGGGGGGGCGCGGGAAGGGGGAAAGACGAGGAGCTCGGTTTTGGAGAGGTTGAGCTTGAGGAAGTGGAGCGACATCCAGTCAGAGATGTCGTGTAGGAGGTGAGTGATGTGGGTGGAGAATGTGGGGGTGAGGTGAGGGGTGGATAGGTAGATTTGAGTATCATCAGCGTAGAGGTGGTAGTTGAAGCCGTGGGAGTGTATGAGTTTGCCAAGGGAGGAGGTGTAGATGGAGAAGAAGGGGTCCAAGGACAGAGCCCTGGGGGACCCCAACAGAGAGGGGGAGGGAAGAGGAGGTGGCACCGTTGTAGGAAACGCTAAAGGAACGTTGGGATAGATAGGACGAAAAATCGAGAACCAGGAGAGAGCGGTGTCTCTGATGCCAAGGGAGAGTAGTTTATTAAGGAGGAGGGGGTGGTCGACTTATATGGTGAGGTCTCACATATGGTGAGATTGCCCTAAAATACAGCAATTTTGGCAGGAATAATACAACAAATACAGGAAATAATAGGGATTAGTGTACTGAAGGACCCCTGGGTATTTCTTAATACTGATATCACGGTGAAAAAATATAATAGCTCGATGATTTTTCACTTAATACGGCAAAAGGACTGATTCCTAGGTTCTGGCAGCCCAGGAAGCCCCCAAAATCACAGACTGGATAAATAGAATAGAGTTTATACATAGGATGGGGAGTTGAACCATATGGGAGAGGACAACATTTTAATATTTAAGAATATTTGGGACAGATAGACTTTAAAAAATCTTGGAGATATTCAGAATTGACTAAGGGGCAAGATAGGGTTCAGACAGGATAAGAAAGATGGTCCCTGGTTAGTTCTTTTTTATAGGAAGGGAAGGAGAGTAGAGGGAGACAAGAAGAGGTTAGGAATAGAATATTGGAACAGGAAGAAAGAGGTGTAGAAAAGGAGGTGACCAAATGGAGGGGGGGGGGGGGGGGGTAGGGGAGAGGTATCTGTAAAAAATATTTTTTGCATGATTTAATATATGGAAAACTGTTGTATTTGCATTGATGATTAAAATTCATAAAAAATATAGTAAAAAGAAATGCAATGTTGTCATCTCAGGAGTGCAGATAATTTGTACCACAGCAGCACAGGGAGATCGTTCTAGGGCACATAGTTTCAAATTGAGAATATTTTCATAGTTTTTCACTCTGGTGCAGTGATACAGCCTGTGAAAAAAATATTGAGATAAAATCAACTTAAAAAGAATACTGATTTAAGTGCTAAATATTGCAAAATAGAGTAATTGACGTGCTTGTTAAATAAGGCATTTTTTTCGTGAATTGATAATACATGCGGTATTTATCCACGCGCGTAAGTATTGCTTGTGTTTTCATGTATATTTAACTCTTAGTGAATTGACTCCTATGTCACCAAAGAGAGATTCTTAACTTAAACAAATGTTTGACTGTTTTTCTGTGTTCTCCTCAGCCCAGAGCAAATCTCACGGCATTACCAGGAAGACTTATGACTGCAGTTGTGCAGGTATTGTGTGGGCAATGCAAACTATAAACCATAAGCTCAATTATACATGATGATAATATGTCATATAAGAGCACTGCTTGGGTTTTACACCGTGAAAATTGGCGTAGAGAAATCATTCATACAGGGTGAATCATTAAAAAATGGTGGTGATTGGTTGATATGGGTTGCTACATTTGCTCTTTGCTCTATGAATAAGCATATAATACTTATCATATAATAGTAAAATAAGCAAAAGTTTGTCCATTCATTTAATGTAATTCCTTAAAATGTTTCTTGTGTTATGAATGTTGTCGTGTACAACATTCACCAGTCTGGGGGAATGTACTGCATAACATGATGCAGCAGTTTTGTGGAACATATTGTGCCGTTACAATTACAACAGCCAGTGGAGATGTACGCTGGTATGTGAATTTAGTGGCAATGAGTGGAGAAGTGTGTGTCAGAAATAGTGGTCAGTGGGGACATGCGTTAGTTCAAGTTAAAATCTGGTGAGCAGAATGCGCTGTGGTTTCTTATGCCACTTGGGGACTTCAGCTATATGATCTGTCTGAGATGGCTCCCAGCTCTGGATACCACTGAGGACCATTTACAGTGGGGAAAATAATTATTTGATCCCTGCATATTTTGTAAGTTTGCCCACTTACAAAGAAATTAAGGGTCTATCATTTTTATCATAGGTTTTATTTTAAATGATGGAAACAATATCAATCAAAAATCCAAAAAAAAACCACATGATACAAATGTTTTAAACTGAGTTGCAGGCCAGTGAGTAAGATAAGTATTTAATCCCCTACCAACCAACAATATTTTCTGGCTCCCACAGACTGGCTATGTGCTCATTTGGTACACAGATTAGTCCTGTCAATTTAAGAAGGTGCTCCTAACGACAACTCGTTATGTGTATACAAATCACCTGTCTGCAGAATCTTCTTTCATTCAAACCTCACCACCATGTGCAAGACCAAAGAGCTGTCAAAGGATGTCAGGGGCAAGATTGTAGACTTGCACAAAGCTGGAATGGGCTACATGATCATCAGCAAGAAGCTTGGTGAGAAGGAAACAAATGGAGCAATTATTTGCAAATGGAAGAAATACAAGATAACCATCAATCACCCTCGGTCTGGAGCTCCATGCAACATTTTGACTCATGGTATAAGGATGATCATGAGAAAAGTGAGGGATCAGCTCAGAGCTACAGTGGAGGAGCTTGTTAATGATCTCAAGGCAGTTTGGATCACAGTCACCAAACAAACCATTGGTAACACAATACGCCGCCATGGATTGAAATCCTGCAGTGCCCGCAAGGTCCCTCCTCATGAAGGCACATGTACAGGCCTGTCTGAAGTTTGCCAATGAACATCTAAATGATGCAGAGAAGGATTGGGAGACAGTGTTGTGGTCAGATGAGACCAAAATTGAGCTCTTTGGCATTAACTCAAACTCGCCATGTTTGGAGGAAGAAAAATGCACACTATAACCCTAAGAACACCATCCCTACAGTCAAGCATGGAGGTGAAAACATTATACTTCAGGGCTGTTTCTCTCTGCTAAAGGTACAGGCCAACTTTGCCACATTGAGGGGCCAATGGACGGGGCCATGTATAGTAAAATCTTGGACAAGAACGTTCTTCCCTCAGCCAGAACACTGAAGATGGGTTGTGGATGGGTCTTCCAGCATGACAATGACCCAAAACATACCACCAAGGCAACAAAGGAGTGGCTCAAGAAGAAGCACATTAAGGTCATGGAGTGGCCTATCCAATCTCCAGACCTTAATCCTATAGAAAATTTATGGAGGGAGCTGAAACTTTGAGTTGCCAAGCAGCCAAGTAACCTTAAGGATATAGAGAACATAAGTAAAGAAGAGTGGACCAAAATCCTTCCTGAGATGTGTGCAAACCTGGTAACCAACTACAGGAAACGTCTTACCTCTGTGCTTGCCTACAGTGGTTTCTCCACCAAGTACCAAGTCAGGTTTTGCTTGGGGATCAAATACTTCTTTTACTCACTGAACTGCAACTCCATTTATAACATTTGTATCATGTGTTTTTTCTGGATTTTTGGTTCATATTCTGTCTCTATCATTTAAAATACACCTATGATAAAAATTATTGTTTTCTTTGTAAGTGGGCAAACTTACAAAATTTGCAGGGGGATCAAATATCTATTTTCCCTACTGTACACATTGTGCAGTGACTGGTGTTTTTCTGCACTGGATAAATGCCAGCACCGTTGTTTTCTAAGTGCCCAGTTCCCACTGCAACTCAGCCTGAAGGTGTAGTGCAGTGAGCTGCAGTAAAATGCAGACATGCTTTGTTTACTGCAGCACAGAAGTAGGCACCACTCTGAAACCACTGCATCTGCATCACAGCCATGCAACTACCATTTTTAGAAAAGGAGGTTAGCAATGGAAGCCTACACATTTTCTAGCAGTAGAGCTTTCCTTTAACCCTTTTACTGCCCGGCCCTGTGTTCCACTTTTAAACTAAGGAGGCCAGACCATTTTTGCATCTTTTCCATTGTTTTTTTTTTTTTTTCCTTTTTTTCTTTCAGCGTTTGTGGAAGACTCCCCAAACCATTTTCTGAAAGCATAGAACAAGTAGAATAAAAAGAAGCCACAAGATATTTGCGCAAATATTTATCAAAACAATATTTTTACACAAAAAAAATTAAAATCATTATTAGTGGTCACAAACAAAGCAAAACTTACAAAATTCCTAGTAAATTCCTACAAAATCTAAAAACTGTAATAAAGAACAAGTATTTGTATATTTGACATTGCGCTTTCAGAGTTTTTAAAGACCCCCCAAACCATACATTTCCTGAAAGAACATGATGTGTAGAATTAAAAAAAAATGGTGCTTCTGATTTTTTTTAGGCCCTGCAATAGTGTCAGAAATGTTTATCAAATCACAATTTGTTGCTAAAAAATACACTAAAAGCATTATTATGGAACACAAACACAACATACCTTACAAAATTCCTGAGAAATTCTTACTAAGGCCTTGTTCAGAATTATTTTTACAGACCTGTTGGGAGCTTTGGTGAGATATCAGGGCTTTAACTAGACACATAGGGGGTTATTTACTAAAACTGGAGAGGACCCGTTTTATGATTAACCACTTCAATACTGGGCACTTTTACCCCCTTCCTGCCCAGGCCAATTTTCAGGTTTCAGCGCTCTCACAATTTGAATGACAATTGCACGGTCATACAACACTGTACCCAAACTAAATTTTCTTATCATTTTGTTCACATAACTAGAGCTTTTTTTTGGTGGTATTTAATCACAGCTGGGGTTTTTATTTTTTGCTAAATTAACAAAAAAGACTGAAAAATTTGAAAAAAAAAAAAGTTTTTCTTTGTTTCTGTTATAAAAGTTTGCAAATAAATAATTGTTCTTCATAAATTTAGGCCAAGATGTATTCTGCTACATTTCTTTGTGAAAATAACCCAAATAGAATTTATTATTTAGTCTGTAGAAATGTTATAGAGTTCACAAACTATGGGATATATCTGAAAATTGATCAATCCGGAAGTACTGACAGCCAATCTAATTTCTAGAGACCCAAAAAATGTCAGAACAGTACAGATATCCCCCAAATTACCCCTTTTTGCAAAGTAGACAGTCCAACGTATTTCATAAAGAGGCATGGCGAGTTTTTTTGAAGTTATAATTTTTTTTATAATTTTTTTGGAAAAATGAAGAAGTTTAAAAAAAATTAATTTTTTACAATTTTTTTTTTTTTTACATACTTTTACCAGTGCAGTACAGCGTTGTCATATAACTGGTGTGTGACGGTGATCAGGGACACTGACTGGTGACAGTACAAAAAAAAAAAAAAAATGTATTATTTTTTTATTTATTAAGTTTTTTTCTCTTTTCTTAAGATTTTTTTTCCATATATTACTATGACCAAAGTAGTATAATGTTACCATAGTAACATTGTACTACTTTCGGGAAATGATCAGTGGTTTTTTTTTTTTTGGTTTTTTTTTTTACACAATTTGATTATAGCAAAGAATTTATTTGCTATAAGCAAGCATTTAACTGAATTACATCGATTCATTCAGGTTTTTTTTTTTTGTTTGACCACAGCTAATCACATGATGGGCTATGATTGGCCCAGCCTGTGCATGTGATAACTGTGACCATTCACAGCTAGACACACTAATGGATGGCATGAAAGGAAGCCATCCATTGTATACAACTGTCATGTGACCTGCTGTGAGTGGTCACAGCCGGTCACATGGTAGTGGCAACGGGACCGGTGCACAGATCTGTCATCGGCCGTGTCCGAGGTACACGGCTGGTGACAGATCACGCCACAGCGCAGCCCTGCGGGCATGCGCGTTCCAGGAAGGATGCCATATGGCATCCTCCCAGAGGGACGAAGTGTTCGCCCCGGCCGCCATCTGGCCATAGGCCGGGCGTTAACTGGTTAAGACAAATCTATTATTAATAGCAAACAGAAATGTGATCTTAACACACTGGAGGTCAATGACATCCCTCAAGATTTCTGAGTGGTATGTTGAGCTTTCACGCATCCAGTGTCTGAAAAAGCTGGTGATAAAATATCATGACAAATATCTTACATGAACACCTGGGGGTTGATTTACTAAAACTGGAGAGTGCAAAATCTAGTGCAGCTCAGCTTTCAGGTTTTATTGCCTATTGTTAATTGAACATGCCAAAGTTAGAAGCTGATTGGCTACCATGCACAGCTGCACCATATTTTGAGTGCACTAGTTTTAGTAAATATCCCCTTTAATGTCTCTATTTTGAGACACAGAAATGGACTGAGGATGGAGTCCTCGATTCCTTTTTCTGCAGCCTGAGCTGCACTGCAAATTAATAAATAGGAAGCCACAGTACAGAGACTTTCTATTCATTCTTATCACTGAAGCATAGTAAATATTGTTTTCTATGTTTCAGTTTAAGTGCATACAGGATCGATTGGTACTGATCATTCACTGTGTTCATTCAGGAAAGGAAGGGACTGACACTGATCTCCTGACGGCTGCAGCTGCTGCTGGGGCACACGGTGGGAGATAGGAGCGGGTGACGCTGTCTAATAGCACTACAGAGAAGGGGCACCAGGAGACCAGTGGGTGAGAGGTAGATCTGATTGTAGATTTGATCCCCATGTGGCTCCCTTGCAGCAACTGAATCAGTGGGAGGGAAAAGGAGTAGGAACCACAGGGGGATCGGTGCTGTAGGGGGGACAAAAGAGCATTGAGGGTGGGGGGGATGGGCATTTTAGAGGACAGTAGAGTAGTAATGGGGAATGTGGAGTATCAGGAAGCATGAGATAAGAGAAGAGCAGCAGCAGTGGGGAGGGGGGACGATGTCACATTTTAGGTAAATAGCTGCAATCACAGCTATTCCTTTGTTCAGCAGAGTCTACTGAACAGTTTTACTATAAAATCATGTTCTCCAAAGTTACCATGAGCTGATAGCAATAGGGGGAATGCCATGAAAGTACATCTTACTGACCTGGTCAGCTTTAGCTGGAAACAGTTCTGTAAGTCAGTACGACATACTTCCATGGCAGTGAAAGGGTTTTAAATGGCAGATTTAGATGAACTGACTCTTTAAAGTGTCTGGGAAGATTGCTCTTCACTTCTTTCCCTGGAGAAGCAACAGGAAGTGAGAGGAAGTCTCTACAAAGTGAGGTTAATCCTTCTCTTAAACTGCTGTCACAGAAACATGCGTTCCCATCGAATATCAAAATATCTATGGTCAGAATGTAAAATCATATGTTACCACATTGTGTTTCAATTATTTCAAGCCCACTCCTGTTACTCTAAAGCAGTGTTTCTCAATTCCAGTCCTCATGGACCCCACAACAGGTCATGTTTTTCAGGATTTCCATTATTTTGCACAGGTGATTTGATCAGTTTCACTGCCTTAGTAATTACCACAGCTGTTTCATCTGAGGGAAATCCTGAAAACATGACCTGTTGGGGGTCCATGAGGACTGGAGTTGAGAAACACTGCTCTAAAGGATTTTTTACATTTGTAAATTTACTTTGTCAAGATCCCCACAGATTTACTTTCTTGTTGCTGGCATGTATTCACTATGCCTTGTGAGTAGGCAATGCCGTGTCACACATTTCACAGAGCCTGCCTTCTGAGCTACAGAGGTGCTGAGAGGAGGAATTTCAGGAGGCAGAGTCAGTAGAGGAATCACTGCTGGCAGGGAGCAAGGTACTAAGGGATATGTAGTCCTTAGACATTGGAAATAAACAGTAGAGGAAGCTTCTCTCCAAGAACTACTTATCCTCTACATGATACACAAAATAGCAGGAGCACTGCCTCAATGTATGTTACATGACATGAAAAACATGCTTAAATAATAAACACACAACAATAAATTGTGAAATAAATCCTAAATGTGAAATCAAGTGAAAAAAAATCCCTTTCACACCCAGAAGATAAGTGCTCTGTGCTCCCCGCCTGTGTGCCCCCTCACTCACCAACTTTAATGGATTCTTATGGTGAAAAAAAAAGAGTCTCGCGCTTTTGGTGGGGCATAGGTAGTCATGCTGGAGCTTGTAGTCCTCCTGATTAAATGTTGCTTGTCGTTCCCAGTGATTCAAATGCAAATCATGCTGGAGCTTTTAGTCCTCCTGATTAAATGTTGCTTGTTGTTCCCAGTGTTTCAAATGTAGAGCTGACAGATATATACATGTAAGGAATGAAGAGAGTCATCCAAAATAGTGCAATTCTATTTATTAGTAAAAGCATACACACTGGTATTGCACTCACATGTTTCCAGATACAATAGGCATGAATCTCCAAGTGTACAATAGTAGGTCGCTAGTATTCCACAAATCTCCTAAGCTTAGCATCACCACGTCTGTGTCTGACGCATTTTGCCCCTCCCACTGGGCGTTCTCAGAGGCATAGGTCCGTGGTGATAGGTGAACACATTTATATGATAAATCTCCGCCTCCTACACCCAGTCCGTGAGTAGTTTGTCCGAATGTATGGCGTCCGCCATCTTGGTTTTCCCAACAGGAAACCAGAAGTCTCCGAGGACCGAAAGTCAGTCCTCCGCCATCTTGGTACTCTCTCTGATATACAGTGCAGTAGATAAACTACTGCATTGTGCCGACTAGGGAATTTGCAAAGTAAACATCCAAGTCCCTCAAATAACAGTGTATAACATACTAAAATGTGTTGCCCATACACATAATGCTGATCCTGCAAGGACATCCGCTAAGCGATATAACATATATAATAATGGTGGAGCCCCCTGCTGTTAAAAAGAGGTCATACCATCACATGTTGAGCTCAATATGCACCAAATACCTGAAACCATGTGTGTAATAAATAACTAAACATAATATATAAAAACTGAATGTAGACCGTAATATAAAATATACGAAGATAAATGAAACTAAAAATTAGTAATAAAATAATTGACATCCATCTCGATATTGAGTCCCCTAGGAACTAGTGTTAAAATTGTAAATCCACTGGGATTAATTTCTCGAGATGGCTTGCCTCATGTTGGTCCCACGCCAATGTTTCTCAACCCTATCTATGCCACAAAATTTAAGTGACGTAGGATCCCTATTGTGGTGTGTTCTAAAATGATTGGATAGGCTATGATGGCGAAAGACCTTTTTGATATTAATATGTTCTCTGAGTCTTGTTTAATATTGAGTGTGCACTATTGATTGGTGTGTCCTAAACGCAGGTGATCATTATCTATCATATCCACTACATGGCCACCTCTTTCCACCACTTCCTGGATATTCCCTGCAAAGCTTGCAGGGAATTCTGGGAAGTTGTGGAAAGAGCTGGCCAGCAGACAGGCAGCACTGACAACATGAAAGGTAAGCTTATATTGGATTGTCAAATATACCTATTGTGTGTACGCTGTGACCATAGATTACCTTTGGCCCTCACCTCTTAGGTCAACAACTGTAAAAGTTTGGATTTCTGTCTTGGTGACAGTTGTCTTAGGAAACATACAGAGGGTAAATGTCTCCAGCGGGCAAACAGACAACATTAAATACATGACAGAGGTTCTATTCTTTTCCCATTGTATTTAAAACGGAAATAAAAAGTTTTACTTTAAGCTGTCCATACTCATGGCGATCTTATAGTTTGGAATGCACAGATAACCAGTTCACATCCCCAGAGAGAAGAATATAATGGGGACATTTACAGTGAGATGTATATAAGACTGAACAAAAAATTCTAACACAACATTAAAGTGGTTCTAAAGGCTGAAGGTTTTTTTTTTACTTTAATGCATTTTATGCTTTAAGGTAAAAAAAACCTGAGTGCAGCTCATCTCCAGACCCTCCTTTATACTTCTCTGAGCCGATCTCAATCCAGCGGTGTGCACGAGAGCAGCAGCCCTCTTGCCTCTCTCCCTACTCATAGAGTCATTGGGCTTCGGCTGCTGTCAATCACAGCCAGTGGGGCATGGGGCCGAGCCAGGCTGTGTGTGTCTATGGACACACAGAGCCCACTCGGGAGTGAGCACGCACGAATGCCCCCATAGCAAGCTGCTTGCTGTGTTGGTGATGGGGTGATGGGGGGGGGGGGTCCAGGAGCACCGACTGGTCTGCTTTGTGCAAATCCATTGCACATAAGCAGATAAATATGACGTGTTTAATGTATAAAAAAAATTAAAATCATGGGTTTACAATCACTTTAACATCAGTGTTCTGATCTGATTATTCCCATCCTATGCACAGACCAGTTATCCAGCAGTTTGTACAAGGTGTAGGTTGATAAATTTCTCCTTTGATTTTTTTGTGGCTGTGTGGTGGAAAGAGGAGTGTGTAAGGCACTGTGTGCTTCTTAAATAAAGACAATGGTGTTATCTATATTCATGGTCTATTTATGTTAGGGCTGTTTTTTGGTGAATATTTATTTTTTATTTTTTCTCAGGATAATGTGGCTCCGCCAATGACGGCTAGTCATGCGGTCGGTTACAGGAGAGCTCCGTTAGGTAACTATATATTATATGAATGATAGGTTGATACGTGATACATTGCTTTATTACTGAGGAGTATGCCTTACTGTACAGTTTTTCTTTTGACCCGCTGGTTCTTTCTGTAGGTCCAGTTCCTCCATTGGAAGCCAAGAATGACGATACGTGAGTATATGTTTATTTTTATTCTAGTAATTATATCAGGAGCTGTATACATATAAATAAAGTTGACCTAGTAGCATCAGATTTAGTTTTTCATGTTAAGTACAGCATAGGTAAGTAATGTGTAATTATAACGCTTACAGGTATTTATTTCCTCTTACAGACTATATAGTGCTTTCATGGACAGTGTCTTCCTATTCTTATCCCAGACTATGATGCTGGCTCAGATGATGCAGTTGTACATCCTGGTGTCTATGCAGCTCCTGGCTGTGTTCAGAAATGTCCGACATAGATCTCCCTTTGTGGCAGCCTCACGTCTTGTGACTGGCTACATAGTTATAATGCTAGCCTTATCTGGTGGAGAGGAAACTGAAGAAAAGAAAGAAGGAAAATTCTTCTTCATGTCTGCAGCAGCCTGATGACATAATGTCAGCCTAGGCAAAGCCATTAGACTGGAGTTCAATAGCTGCTTTGTAAAGGGTTAGTACACCTTTACCAAAAAACGGCCTATGCAGATAAGGGGTGTCTGTAGATAAAAAAAAAAAACTGTGCGGCTCTGATTAAAGTTGAATAATGCCCTTGCTATAAGTGTAGACCTTTTACGTACCTCATGAAGCCTGACTGGAATACTCCCAGAACATTGCTAAGTGAGGTCTAGTCATTCCTGCCACCTCCACAGACACCATGTACAGAGCCAATCCAACCAGCTCTGTAACTTGGCATAGCTGTGATTGGTCATATACAGTCACAGATGTTAACAATGTCGTGTTTACATTTGTGAGGCTGCCACTTCCACATACAACAGAGGAAGAGGAAAAAACATGAACTAATGAATGAATGTCTCTGTGATCTGCATATTAACCACTTCATCTCTCTTATCCTGCACATCTGCACATTATCCCTTCATCTTAATCCTTTTACTGTATGTGACTTTGTGCATTACCCCCCTTTACCTCCTCCTCCCTCGTGTATAGCCTGTATGCACTGTATCTAGTCAACCTTACCTAGCTCCATGTTTTAACCCCCTCAATACCAGCATATTTCTTCATTTACAAAAAATTGGGACAGAAAAGAAGATCATATTGGGCTATCTACTTCCCAAAAAAGGGTCACTCATACTATCTGGATATTTTTTTATTTCTAACAGAAAGCTAGGGAAACCGATTTATTTTCAAAACGTTTGACATTTGTTCCTTTTGTAGTAAAAAAATTTAGTTACTAATTGCCTTGAACAGAAAGCTGTATGTGTCTCAAAAGATGACATAACCTTCATTTGTGTACGATGTTGTTCTTCATTTGTGTACAATGTTGTTCTTCATTTGTGTACAATGTTGTTCTTCATTTGTGTACAGTGTTGTTCTGTAATTGTTAGTCTAACTATATCCTAGCACCGAAAAGTGAAAAAATGGCCTGGTAATGAATGGGTATTGCAGGCTGGTACTCAAGTGGTTAAAGAATTAGGTTAACCAAAACTGATATTTCAGACGTAGGTAGAGTCATGAACAGGCTTCTTTTTATGTCTATGGAATCCCAGCAGACTGAATTTCCTGTTATGTTAGGTGTTTCTACCCACCTTTAAGAGTTCCTATCACGTACCTGGTGATGGAGGCCAGTGGAGAGAGGGCTTCCATTGCGCTAAGTTCCGGAATCCCCCTGAGAGTGGGAAAGCGGGAGTCAGGCCCAAAGTTGCACAGGTCACCTGTAGGAGTACTGGTTGGTGGTCCACTCAGAAGCACAGCTGGTGCACGGAGATAGGTATGCAGACAGGAGGCGCCTGTGCCTGGTATGCAAGCCCTTCCGGGATTTGGATCTTTACCGAGTAGTCGGTTCAAGCCAAGGTCAGGTACCAGGTGGGAATCAGAGTGGACGTAGTCAGATGGGAAAGCCGAGGTCATTCACAGAGGAGCGGGAGAGAGAGTATCCGTAAGTCAAGCCGAGGTCAGATCAGGGGTAAATCAGAGTAGACAGGTCCAGGAGCAAGCCGAGTCGGTAACAGGAAATCACAAGTCAGAATCTCAGGAACAGGGCACGGGGAGTTAGAGATCATCCAGCAACCAGAGGAAGCGATGAGCCTCCTTATAAAGGTCGTCTGGCACCAGACTGAGGCTGATGTGCCCTTCTGCGGCCATGTAGAGTATTGGCAGAAATGACATCTTCCAGAACTCCTGCCGTGGACAGGACCCAGACAGTTCCTTTCTTGCTGCTGCACTCTCTATAATACTGAGATGTTCCATTCGGGCGCCGGGCAGGTAGTTTTTTTTTTTTCACCTTTAGCCCTGTTGCAGACAAGCAGCATGGCTCACCTGTCAGGCGGAAGCATTCGGGCAGCAACGCTGCCACCTGATTGCTTCCACACAGCCCACAGTGCCAGCCTTTTTATTTTTAAAAAATTAACGTTACACCCAAGCATATAACCCCCACATATGTTTGCACATACAAATATAAAAGTATCCGCTGGGGTGCCTACTCATGAAAACAACAATTGCGCTACACATGTTGCATATCACCGCGCACGCCAGAATGAGAGCAATAATTCTAGCACCAGACCTCCTCCATAACTCCCCTTTCCTGATGTGCACCCAATCGTTGCTCATTGCACTGCAAGGTCTCTCCCCTCCCTGCTATTCCCCGGGTGCGGTGCTGGAGACAGGGAGGGAGGGGGAGATAAACAGTGCAATGTTACAAATATTAAACGTTTAAGTCGCCATAAAGCCCTTTTTGTTTTTAAAAGCCCCAGACATTACTTAAAGCAGATTTAAATCTGGTTTTGGTTAAAATTTATTTTTTTTATCTGGACAAGTAGATTGTCATGAAGGATAAGTAGATTGGGACACCGATTTAGTCCCTTGACAAGTAGTAATTTCCACACCCCTGATTAAAAAGATACAGCAGTGTAAGTGGAACAACCTCCCTCTAGCCAGTATGAAAACCTGACCTGAGAACAATCAGCTACAGAATGTCTTAGGCAGGCCATAGACAGGATGGCCGATAAACGAAAAATCAGTCGGCACCATTGCCGATACTGCCACCATCGTCCACGAAAAACGGCCAACGGGCTGGCCCCACTAACGGCGTGACTATCGGCCGATTTTTCGTGCGGACCCGTCTATGGCCTGCATTAGATATCCAGTATCTACCAGAACAGATAATAACCAGATCACCATAATTTTTTTGAGAAAACTGTGATATTCACATAAATAGATGTATATAGAAATAAATTAGGTTGCAGCTTTTAACATTTGTTTCACTTTTTAAAACTAATCTCAGTACTGGCTTGGTATGTTTGTGCAGTAATCGTTTGGAATAATATTATAATTGGAATTATAATATTTGGTCTTTCTGAAATTTTAGAGATGTACAGTATATGAATATGATCACACTTAAGTTTATCAAAAGTTAAAACTGTTTTGTTTAAAATTTGGATAGTGTCTCAGTGAAAGTGGTCACCAGGACAAATAGAGAGGGTGAGTCTCTCCAGAGGGGAGGAACACAAAACCGCAATAAAAAAAGCTGACAGCGGTTCTAATCCTTCGCCATTTTATTAAAAAAACTGTTCCCTTTCAGCCAAGAAAGCTGCTATCTTTTTTTTTTTCTTCCAATTCTTGATTTTGAAGTATCAGCATGACAATTAAAAATTAAAAATACATATAACCACATAGGATGCAAAGAGTGAGACACAGCGTGACATTTCACATAGGCATAAATATGACAAGGGTCCATGGACACAACAATTACAAACATAAGCTAGGTAGCCATATACTATATCCCACCTATGAACCAAGGTCATACAAATCCTCCCTTTCTCTTTACTTATTTTCTGGGGGGGTTAACATTGAACCCCAGGTCATTGGGGGAAGAAGAAAAAAAAGGTGGGGGGAAGCTGCCATCTTAGCCTCTGTTTGATCTGCAGCTGCCATGATGCTGCACATGTGATCATTTATGACACCAGGCATTTCATGGTTTGACAGTTTGGTTGAGGACACAAGCAAATGTGACAGCATTCCCGGCATGCCAGGAATGTAACTGCTTTTTGAAACCATTAAATCAATGGGTTATATAGGGATATATTTATTAAAGCAGCGTGTATGTATGTTATGTATTCTGTAACTGTCAAGAATGCACCACAGAGCTATGATATTTAACAAACACAAGGGGGTGCTGTTTTAACATGCCTTTGCAATGAAGTGCTTTTAGATTCCTGTTACCTAACCCAGCCTTTTTCAAGTCTTTAGGTTTCTTCAGGGGTGCCTTGGCAAAACCTAAAAATTGCCAAAAAATTGTATACAAGTCAGCGATGGATCAAGCCTGCCTTTTAGTTGCACAAAGCCACAGGTTTTCTTTGTGCACCACTAACGATGGGTGTCCTACATGTGCAGATGTTCCCGCGTTCTGTAAAACCTGTATATTAGTTTCGTTTTTTACATTTTGAAATGGGTGCTTCAAGATAGTACAGAATTTTAAAGGGTGCCTTGACTGAAAAAAGGTTGAGAAACACTTACCTAACCTATAAGCATTCTGCAGCTTCTTGCATTCATTATTTGATAGCAAATTTAATACAGATGTAAATAAATATAGGCCTTTTTTATCTATATTGTTGAGTATTTCTGCATTACCTGATTATGAGTCTTCTTATTTCTTTTAGACCAGAGGAAAAGATTAGACAATTAGAGAAACAAGTTAATGAGCTAATTGAAGAAAGCTGTATTGCTAACAGCAACGGAGATTTAAAGTCTGTGAGTTTATATTTACATTGCACATTTAGCAACAATATTCTGTCTGAGTTGTGTATAACATCAGAATATTCTCCTTCTGATTTATTAGGCCCTGGACAAAGCAAAGGAAGCTGGGAGAAAGGAGAGAGTTTTTGGTCAGACAAAGAGAGCAGATACTGTCTCCGGAGACTATTAACCTGGACTTGACATATTCAGTATGTACAGATTTGTTTTTAAATAGATCTGTAGTGTGCATTAGGCTGCAGGGATGCATGGAGAAAGCAATCTGACTGCAGATTTAAGTTTTCTAGTGCAAGTAAGCTTAAAAAAGAACTTCAGATCAGGACAGTAGACATCCATAAACCTACATAATATCAGATTGTGTCTTCATATGTCATTTGTTTTAAGATTTTTTGTGAGTTCCATAGACCCCTATATTGAATATAAAAGGAAATCTGTACTGAGGACAAACCAAAAGAAAGTGGAATTTGTAACTCACTTGCTAGTGACCACGCCTTAGAATTCTACTTTCCATCTGTCACAGGGTAGTTACAGTGGATATGTGAACCTTTGGAAGGTTACTTTGATAACTATCCATACTCCCCTACACACATCCATATATCTGAATTAAAAAAAACCTGCTATGTGTAACAACTCAAAAACCTACATAAAAAAACTTATACTGGACTGCTGCTGTAACAAAGGTAAGCACTCCCTCTATAAACTAAAATACCACTATGTTTCACAGCACTTTCTGTTGTGTGTGTGCACACAAGTTATTACAAATAAACTAAAAATATGTGGATAAATGCATATATAAAATGCTAGGTGCTTAAATTAATATTCCTTGCATATCTACTGCTTCCACTTCATGTCTACTTCATTAATCTTATGGTGTTTGCCAATAAAACAAGTAAACTAAACCATGTTCAAATACATATACAACATATAAACAAAGAAACGTGATGGCAGAAAACAGACCAAGTAGTCCATCGGGTCTTTTTAACCGCCTCCCGCCCGCCATATAAGGAAATGTCGAGCAGCCAGCGGCTCTCTCGTCCTCCCACTCTAACTACGCATGCACGCCCCCCAGGGGCCTAGATCAATGAACAAAGTAAAGAGCCAATGACACAAGCTCTATCATGTGATCAGCTTTGTCCAATCACAGCTGATCACATGTTAAACAGGAAATGCCGGTTATCGGCAGTCCTCTCCTTACGCTGACAACGCATGAGAAGAGGAGAGCTGGTAAGCGGCATTCCTCAGAGAGGACATCTGCACTGATCATTAGGGCACTGATGATCAGTGTAGCCCCATCAATGCCACATACCAGTGCACATCAGTGCCACATATCAGTGCCTACCAGTGCACATCAATGCCACATATCAATGGCGCCTAACAGTTCCAATCAGTGTCATATATGAGTGCTGTATTTCAGTGCCCAAAAGTGATGCCTGTCAATGCCCACCAGTGATGCCTGTCAACGCCCATCAGTGCCACCTATCTGTCCCCATCAGTGCAGCCTATGAGTGCCCATCACTGCAGCCTCATTAGCGCACATCAGTAAAGCAGAAAAATGACTAATTTACAACATTTTATAACAGAAGCTAAGAAAAAATGTTTTTTTCAAAATTTTAAGTCTTTTTTAGTTTGTTTTCAAAAAATAACAAAACCCAGTGGTGATTACATACCACCAAAAGAAAGCTCTATATGTCTCAAAAAAAAGATACAAATTTTGTTGGGTGCAGTGTTGCATGACCGCACAATTGTCATTCAAAGTGCGACCGTGCTGAAAGCTGAAAATTGGCCTGGGCAGGAAGGGGATAAAAGTGCCCAGTAGACAAGTGGTTAAAGCCATCTACTGTTGACTGGCTAACTGCCTCTGCTGGAAGTTTATTCCAAGCATCAACTACCCTTCCAGTAAAATAATACATAAAGTGATTTGTGCTCAAGATGCTGTTCCCTGCAGATCCACCGCTTCCACTTTGCACCTAAAGTACTTCTTTCATCTTACAATATTTGCTGCCATATTAAATAAGTGAAAAACATGTGCAAAGTTATGTAAATATACAATATTTTGTGCTCAATATAGTGTTCTCTGCAAATCCACTGCTTCCACTTTGCATCTACTTCATGTAGCTTATTTTACTGAAAAAAAAGTCCATAAATCAATGAAAAGTTCATAACGTGTGAAAGTGCTCTGTGCTCAAAACTGTGCCAGCTGTAGTATAGCCACTGCCTTTTTCCACTTCTTGCACATGTGATGGTGAGGGTGCCCCCTTAGTAGTTCTTCCCAACATAGTGTAAAACCTTTTATTAAAAGTAAATATTAAAAGCTGCACTCACATAAGAACAGATGCAAAACAATGCTTTATCACCAGGACTTGGAGGTTCTGTGTGTTCCATGGGCAGGAAGTGATGTCACTGGAACCGGAAGTGGCATTCTCCATTTTTCACCCCACACTGGGCATCCTCAGGAAACATGTAGAACACAACTTCCAGTTCCGATGCTCTTTTACATTCACGCATCTACCTAGGGTGGCAGACATCATCATAACTGTTAACACACTCCTCCTTATTTATAGCTGTATGTAAATTTATTGTTCTTAAATTTATAACAGGTGCTGTTAAACCTGGCCACCCAGTACTGCAACAATGAGATGTATACAGAAGCCCTAAATACTTATCAAGTGATTGTGAAAAATAAAATGTTCAGCCAGGCAGGTATGTGCCTTTTATTAACTTTTTTTTTTAATAAACTGCAAATAAACTTTCCACTGGTGTGAGAATTTCAAATTCCTAGATGGGTAGAACAGTTCACATATAGGGGAAGATTTACTAAAACTGGTGCGCTCAATATCTGGTGCAGCTGTGCATAGTAGCCAATCAACTATTAATTTCAGCTTGTTCAGTTAAGTCTTGGCAATAAAACCTGGAAGCCAATTGGTTTCTATGCAGAACTGCATCAGATTTTGCACTCTCCAGTTTTAGTAAATAACCCCCATACAGTCAAATAAAAAAGTTAGCACATTGGAGTTTATTTAAAAAGAGTGCAAAATCTGGTGTAGTTCTGCATAGAAACGAATCAGCTTCCAGGTTGTAATACCAAAGCTTAATGGAACAAGCTGAAGTCAGAAGCTGATTGGCTACCATGCACAGCTGCACCAGTTTCTGAGTGCACTAGTTTTAGTAAATCTCCCCTTGTATATCCCATGGAAATTGGTGACTTTTTTTCAACGCATTTGAATGGGTCAATGTTAGATCTTCGTTCAAGCCATGCCTACAGATAAAGGTGATATACTTGAACAGATTAAACATGAAAATTACATGATGTAATTCATTCTTATATTTTAAATGAAGGAAAAATGCAGATTTGTCACATAGGAAATTAGGCAAATTCCTACATTTACCACCAATTGAGATCCATGATATTAGAATTAATTGCTCCAGATTAAGCATCAATGGTGTGAACTTGCTTAAGGCGTATTTAGGTGGAACCCATCTGATTTAAACCTTGATATCTAAGGTCTGGTCTTTATTAATCTATGTCATCATGTCAAGAGTTAAGACATTCAGAATAAAATTTGTGGGAGCTACGAACCTGGCAAGGGAATTAAAAAAAAAAAACACTAAAGTATTCAAAATCAGTTCTCCAGCCATAAAAAAAATAAAATAATTGTTAAAAAAAATGTCCAAATTTGGCTGACCCAGTAAATTCAGCCAAAGAGATGCTAAAAAAAACTCTCCATTCTCCAAGAACCCCAAAATGTCAAAGTGCTATCTGCACAAAAGTTAAAGTTGACCTTTTAACAGATCTTTCAATACAATAAAGATCTAGAGCAGGGCTTAAAATTTAAAGTCCTGAGCTACTAGCCAGGACTTGAGAGTTACTCGCCACCAGTTGCCCCACCCAAACCCTACCCTGCCCCACCCTTAATTCCTCCCTTAAGCACGCACTCGTAAATTATCTCATGAAATGGCAATTGTTATAGGTTTTATGCAGAATGAAGGAAGAAAGGAAATGGAAGAAGGGGAGGGGTGGAAGAAAGGGAGAAAGCGGGGGGAGAGTTGGAAGGAAGGGAGGGGTTGAAGGAAGGATGGTGTCGGGGTCCTGTCCACGGCAGAAGTTCTGGAAGATCTGGCATTTCTGCCAATACCCTGCATGGCTGCAGAAGCACGCATCAGCCTCAGTTTGGTGCCAGACAGCCTTTATAAGGAGGCTCATCACTTCCTCAAGTTGCTGGATGATCTCTAGCTCCCTGTGCCTTGTTCCTGTTTCCCGTTTTCTGTGATTGTGACCTGTGATTTTCTGATACTGACTTGGCTTGCACCTGGACCTGTCTACTCTGATTTACCCCTGATCTGACCTTGGCTTGGCTTACGGATACTCTCTCTCACTCCTCTGTGTATGACCTTGACTATCCTATCTGACTACATCTGCTCTGATTCCCACCTGGTAACTGACCTTGGCTTGAACCGACTACCCAGTAAATAGCTAAATCCCGGAAGGGCTTGCATACCACACACAGGCGCCTCCTGTCTGCAGACCTATCTCTGTGCACCAGCTGTACTTCTGAGTGGACCACCAACCAGTACTCCTACAGGCGACCTGTGCAAGTTTGGGCCTGACTCCCGCTGTCCCACTCTCAGGGGAGTCTGCAACTTAGCCGCAAGGGAAGCTCTCTCTCCATTGGCCTCCATCACTAGGTACGTGATAGATGGGAAGGAGGGGTGGGTGGAAGGAAGGGAAGGGAAGGGTGGTGGGTGGGAAGGAGGAAGGGAGGGGTGGAAGGAAGGAAGGAAGGGAGTAGTGAAAGGGAGGGGTGGATGGGTAGAAGGAAGGGAGGGGTGGGTTGGTGTAAGGAAGGAAGGGGGGGAGGAGGAGTGGGTGAGTGGAAGGAAGGGAGGGAGGATGGGTGGGGGAAGGAAGGGAGGGTTTTAAGGAAGGATGGGATGGGTGGAAGAAAGAGGAGTGGGTGGAAGACGGGTGGGTGGAAGGGAAGGAAGAGGTGGGTGGACTAAAGGTAGGGTGGACTCGCATGACTCAGTCAGAAGCATCACAGCTGTCAGCTGCTCTGTGTTCAATTTCCAGGGGGAGGCAGAGCAGATCCAACCTCTCTCCCCTCTTCTCCTATTGGTCTGGAGGATAGGGGGAGGGGCTGGGCACTGAGGAGCACACATCCGGCGGGGGAGAAGGGCCAGAAAGAAACGGAATGTTCGGGGATGATCTGTGACAAGCAGCCATCTCCTGTATGACTTTCAATGAAGCAGCTGGAAGCCGCATCTCCTTCTCTCCCTCCTGCAGCTTTCAGCTGCTTCATTGAAAGCCATACAGGAGATTGCTGCTTGTCACAGATCATCCCGAACATTCCGTTTCATTCTGGTCACCCCCCTTGCTTGTCACCGCCCCTCCCACAAACCCCTAGTCCCAGCGCTACCTGCCCCCACCTTATTTCCACTCGCCCAATGCGAGCGGGTGAGTGGAAATTCCGAGGGCTGATCTAGAGTACGTTTGCAAACCCACAAAAGAATAGCACAAAAAAGAAGAAACAGTTATGGGCTGGTTTAGTCAAAATCCTGTTTTGAATTCCATTGAAATGTTGTGAGGAGATTTGGTATGGTAAGTTTATGTAATTAAAACCACAAATACCTTGCAACTGAATATTTTTTCACGTAGGAGTGGTCAAAAATTTCACACTGCTGATAGTAGGAAAAATGTAATGTAAGTAGCTAATTCCCTGTGTTTTAATGCACTGTAAGGAAGTACGAATCATGTCTCATAAAGCATCAGTTTATAGTAGGCTATCTGACCCAAAGCTGCAACCTGTAGCTATTGTGCGCAGTGCAAACCAACAGTGAGCTTCCTTGGGTAGGAACTTGCATTCATCTACATCAGTAAACTGTGTTCTCCTGGAGAGGAGCCGTCCCTGCTAGGAGAACACAATGATTACTGCTAGCAGCTAAAAATTCAGCAGGCTGGTTGTACCCAAGTCGATTGCCAGCTTAAGCGTCTTGCAGACATTAATCAATGCTTGGGTTTAACCCAGGGGTGGGCAAACTTTTTGACTTGAGGGCCGCAGTGGGTTCATATATTGGACCTGGGGGCCGGACTAGCTGCTGGCCGGCCCAGCCACTACCATGCCATCCATAGTAAGTATAGTAATATTCCCCCATAGTAAGCATAGTAATTAATCCCCCATATAGTAATTCATCCCCCATAGTAATTCATCCCCCATATAGTAATTCATCCCCCATATAGTAATTCATCCCCCATAGTAATTCATCCCCCATATAGTAATTCATCCCCCATAGTAATTCATCCCCCCTATAGTAATTAATCCCCCCTATAGTAATTCATCCCCCATAGTAATTCATCCCCCATAGTAATTCATCCCCCATATAGTAATTCATCCCCCATATAGTAATTCATCCCCCATATAGTAATTCATCCCCCATATAGTAATTCATCCCCCCTATAGTAATTCATCCCCCATATAGTAATTCATCCCCCATATAGTAATTCATCCCCCATATAGTAATTCATCCCCCCTATAGTAATTCATCCCCCCTATAGTAATTCATTCCCCATATTGTGTCAATTCACTTACCTTTGCTCCGCGCGTTCCTCTCGCCGTGTTCCCACGCCGTTCCGGTCTTCAGGGCGGACTGTGAGAGGAGAGGAGTTCGTCACACTGCCCCGCCTACATCCTGACAGCCAATGTTTGCCACGCTCCGCGGGCCGGATTAAAAGGTCCGCCGGGCCGTATGGCCGTAGTTTGCCCATTGCTGGTTTAACCTCTTCATGCCTGACGGCAATACAAATCTTAACTCCTAAGCACAATTTTGCAATTTTGGCATGTGTTAGCAAAACCGTACATATCATCACAACTACTTTGTGCATCCAGGTGGATTATACCACATTTTTGTAGGACAAATTGGGCTTTCATTTGGTAGTAAATGGTAATGGATATCGCCTGATTTTTTTTTTTTAATTACCAAAGAAAAACTGACCCAAAATAGTAAAAAAAAAAACATTTTTTTAAATTTAGCTATTTATTTCTTGCTACTACCACCACCAAAAGAACAACCCAAAATAATTTCTCCTGCTCCTGACGTTACCAGCCATACCACGTGTGTATGTTAGTTGTTTGTACCCGTAGTACAGCCCAGAAACAATAGTGCGCAATTTGCTTTTTTTTTTATCCTGCCACTAACTGACACTGATACTAATTTAAAAATGAAAAAAAAATCCTGACCAAAAAAAAAAAAAACTGATCCTGACCTTTGACCTTGACCCAAACACTAACCCTGGCACAGACCTAGATCAAACCTTCATCTAGGTATTTTTGTTTGTTTTTTTTTATTTTTATCTATTTATTTTGTACACATACTTGTTTTTTCTCTCTCTAAAAAGAACAGAGAGAGATACAATGTATCTTTCTCCTTCATTCAGAGAGAGAGAGAGAGAGAGAGAGAGAGAGAGAGAGAGAGAGAGAGAGAAAACGAGGGACGAGCTTCACAGTGACTGATTACTGTGATAGCAAATCAGAGGCTATCACAGTGATCAGTTAACCCGAAATCAGGAGTTCCAGGTCACAATTGTTAGAACGGGACCCGAGGCTCTCAGTGACATCCCAGTATGTGCTGGGAGTGTGCCATGCAGCACGCTTCCAGTGCAAAGACAGGTACGCAAAATTAACGGCTCCACGGAAATAGCCTAGTTC